TTGCACCCAATTTATGAATACCTCGCCTGGAACCGAGAGGATTTGCAACCTCAAAGTCATCATAGAACATTTGGATCTGCACTGTGTTCCGTTCAGTGAGTCTTCAATAAAGATCCATCACAAATATCTCTGAGTCTTGAATCACCAGTTCTTGGGTTTGTCAACATTTCTGTAATGTGCTCCCTTTTAAATATTGACTCCAATGTTGATAAAAATTGGAACTATCTATCTTGAACGACTGCCTGATCATATGTTCCAGTCTTTTCATTTCGCCTTGTGTCAAATCTTGAGCCAACTACACGTTCAACTGGTTCTACAGTTTCCCGCTTGTCTGACAAAAAATTGGACCGCTTGTATTCTGAATTAAGAACTGTGAAAGGATTCTCCAACTCCTCAAAACATGCTCCAACTTTCTTGCACCTTTCAGTGTCTCTTTCATTACTAAATACTTGCTTAATGACAGTTTTTTTTTTTTGCATGCTGCTGGATATCTTGAACAATCTCTTCCAACGAGTTTACTACAGAATTCACTACACTTTGGCCAACACCTGCTGCCTTTAGATCAGAAATTACAGCTGCATCCGGCACACTCAAACCTATGTATTCACTCTATAAACAAGTTCTTAAAGTATTGATGAAAATGAAAAGCCAGAACATCACCATCACTGCAATATTCTAAAAAAAAATATACAATTACCTCAGTTTAAACTATTTCTTATTTTACTCTGATGCAGCCTGATGTTCAAAATAATCGTGCACCTCCTCCTCTTAGAGCAGTGGTTCTCAACCATGGGGCCGCGGCCCATCGTCGGGCCACGAGCGCTGCCTGCTGGGCCGCGAAAAACGTTCAGTTCTGCACTTGTGGGCCGCGAGGACTCCCCAGAAGCCAGCTGCAATAAATTTAAATTATGGAAAAGTTTTTAAAAAGAAAAAAATAAGGATGGAAGTGATGGCACCCCCTCCTCATTTGTGCGCAAGTACAACCCTGACTTTATTAAGTTTGGTTTTGTGGATGGAGGTAGCGAGGCAGAGCCGAGAGCCCATCGCGTTGAGTGTGGGTTAGCGTTAGCCAACGAAGCACTGAAGTCTTCAAAGCTACGGTGGCGTCTCGAAACCAAACATCCAAAGCTAGTTGGGAAGCCGGTGGATTTTTTCAGGAGAAGAGAAAATGGGCTACAGCTATCATATCATTTATTTTAGAAGGTTTTAGCTTAAGTAAAGTGAACTTGATTTAGTTATTGAAGTCAAATC